TCAATTATGTTTAAAATATTACTCTCATATACATGCATGTCTCTAAATCAATTTATTCACTTTTATAATCAACATAATTTAAGTATGCAACACTTATCTTGCCATTATCCCCTTCCACTACTATAAACAAAAGTAGTAAATCGAGACTTACTTTTTACATTTCTTTTCTTATTATTTTTTCCAAGCATTTCGGTTCTTCTTCAAGGCCTCTAACAATTCTTCCCTAATTAATCACTCGTCTTTTTACGCAAATACTAACATTTATGATAAAAGTAACCTAGGTTACTCGACAAATTATAAACTTAGAGTGTTTTGCATACTTATGATTCAAGTTGTCGTTTAATGTAAAAGTAACATTGGTGATGAATATCCCTAATTATTAAGCAACTCAAAATATTATAGTAAATTTACAATTCAATAAATAAGGCTAAAATTCAACTTGGAATGCTTTCTTTTTCTTTCTCAAAATTAAATAATTAACTAGAAAATCTCATGTTATTAAAACCATGCTTAGACCTAGTTTCAAAGAGTAATTTCAAAATAAACATTTCTTCAAGAATAATGCTTAATCATAAAGATACATAAATTTCTATAGCGTGCATGCATTTCTATAATAATAACATTCAAAACAATCTCAATTCTCTCATAAGATCTTGTTAGAATTCTAAATCAATCATTAAGTATGAAGGATATCATAACACTCAACATTTTTTTTAATAGAAAAAATATAAGGTAAAAATTTGCACCTTGTCTTCCATTTTTACTTATATATTTCATTAATTAAATTAACCCGTCATAATAAAAAAAAGATGAGCTTTTAAGATGAGTATGGTGGTTTTTGCTGATAATCAATACGTTAGAAGAGAGAGAAATTACAGGCTTTAGATTTCAGTTGCTCTTTTTTCAATTGCTGCTATTCCAATTTAGCTTTTAAAATTTAAGGATAGTTTAGTTTTTTTATAAACAAAAAGTAATGAAGGCTGTGACAATAGCAAGCAATTCCCACAAATAAAAGGGCGAAGAAGTTGGATCGAAGAATTTCTAACCTAGTTAAGTGCGGAAGGGCTGAACACAAACCGTGATGGGAAAGTAATTGTGGGCCTTTCGTATATTAGAAGTGAGCCTGAAGTGGCCTCTTATCCATCAAACCTCTCTTTGGGCTACTAGATATCCTTCTCCAACCACTGGACTTTTTAGATGGGTTGGTTCTGGTCCTTCTGGAATCTGGATCCGTTGCCCTCCTTATAAATTAGTCCCTAGTTTTTCACGAAAGTTAAATAGTCCCTCTAGTTTTAAAACTAATTAATTAGTCTTTACGTTTTAGAAATTAAATTTGTAACTTAATTTTTTCTTTTTTTTTTAAATTTATTTTGATCTTTTTTAAGAAATATAAGAAAAATTAGTAAAAAAAAATATAAAAGGATTGATGAAAAAAAAGATATTTTTTGGAACAAATTAATATTAAATTAATTTTAATCACCACTACTTAAGGAATTTATTAATTAATTTTTGACACAAGAAGGACTATTTAATTCTAAATAGAATAATTTATAATTTACTCCCTTCATTAATGAACTTTAAAAAAAAAAATTATTAATGGACTGTTCCTGCCAATGAAAATCATGCACACAAAATCTTAGAAGAGATAAAATTTTAATTAAAAGGCAACAAATATGCTCACTTTATGGGCCGGTTGTATTTTATTTTGAAAATCTTGATGGAACATACTAATTTTGGAATTTGGAAATGAATATCCACCACTCAATAATATGTCTATTAAAATCGAGTCATATTAATTAACAATCATATTCCATTAATGTTGAAGCATGTTTTTTTTTTTTTCCCATCATATGTTGAAACTTGTATTTAGAAAAATGAAAACATCATATATTAAAATATAGATGAATTTAATGTAATAAATTAGATTCTCCGAATATTTATATTTTCTAACCTTTAAGCGCGAGAACATCTCATTAGTAAAATGGTCATCCTAAAAAGTCTGCATCTTTACACTGACATTATATATGGATTTATCAACAAAGCACATGCAAAAATTATTTGGATTTTTTGTACTCATTTGATAAAGCCGTTGTTTGTTTTGTTCATAATCCATAATTTCATAATTTTATTATTATCTGATTATATCGAGGAAGCAGGAAAATAGCTAGTAGTATCAAATTAGAGATGCAATCATTCTCATTAGCTCAATCTATCTGATTGCCATGCTTTGCAATTGAAGTTCAGTCTTACATGGGGATAAACCATTAGCTTGTATCAATGAATTGATATATATATATATATATATATATATATATATATATATATATATATATATATATATATATTTAAGGTTTCGAGCAATGCACATTGGAAAGTATTCTGGTGGCTAAATTTTCTCTAAAAATCAATTTTTACTTGACCTCAAGACAATTAGAGGAGTCATGCAGGTCATGCAAAGATATGATTGTATACTATTTATATCCCGTCCAACTGATGAATTTCCATTGTCCACACTTCCCACTTCAAACGCTGTGTTTTCTTCGTCAATGTCTAGCTAGGACGTGTTACGGATATTTTTGTACGGAACTCAACCAAAAAAATTTTGTAACAAAAAAAAAAAAGATTATTGACAAGTGATCTGTAAAAAAGTCAATCATCCAATCTTAAAATTAAATCAACTAAACTAACTTGTAAATGTACACTACAATTACTGCTTATGATTTTTTAAGTAAAAAAAAAAAAAACTGAAGTCAAATGAATTAAATGAGCTGCAATAGCATTAAAATCCCCTCACAAAGAAACCTTGACATCCCAAACTAATTGGATTGCAGTATTGAATGGTGAATATCTGAACACAATATACCAATTAAGATAGAAGTCAAAAGTTCTTAATCTAAGATAGAACACAATATAGTCTTTATAATGTTAAACCGAATAAACTTATAATAAAAAGAAAATTGTAAATATTCATAGAATGACATTCCAGACATAATAGTTGACAAAGAAATTATAAGGGACAATACATGATAATACAAACAGAGGATTGAAGAACTAATTACCAATTTATAAGCTATTACTTATTAATTACTATCTACTTATTACTACCTACAAGCTATTACTTATAAATTACTGTCTATGAACTATCGCTTTCAAGTACGAAACTCGCAATAACACTATTTATAGACTTTCTGCTACTCTATAACCTCTAGTAATGGGCCTCTTTCTTCAACACAGGCTATAGTGCTCCATGTTTCTCCTTACTTGCACTGCAGCGCATTCATTCTTTTCTTGTGTCGTAGTGACTTGTTCTGTTGCTTCTCTTGTTGCAATTCTCATGTTCTTCTTAATTGTCTAGAGCTATATTTTTCATGTGTGTGTTGGGCCTAATGTGCATATTGAGTTTAATTGGTTAGCTACTAGTCTTTTTCTAAACGGATCCAGTGTCTTAAATGGGACTAATCAATAAATTTATTTCAAAAACTTAATGGGCTTCCTTCAAGTCTTGTAACTCATTTATTAGGCTCAAATCCAGAATAAATTTAAGTATAACAAATGGTGACTACTCAACAACCGACTATGCTATCAACTCAGCCCCTCGCATGCAACCCCCACCACCCCCAAACAAAGCTGCATCTTAATTAGCAAAATAGAGTTTTTCTTTAATTAATTGCAGACCACATGGCCTGAATATTGTGGTGTCCAACTTCTAATCTGGGTGCATAAAGCTCTAGTTGCCCACCTTCAATAAATATAAGATAAAGCTATATGGAAAAGAAAGTAGTAAATACTATTGAAAATAGTCCAAGCTAATTTAAGGTGTCAGGCTTTATGTTTAAATAAAGCACCTGATTTGTCTCCATGGAGACCATCATTTAAAATAAAAATTTATCAAAGATTAACAATTTTAAGCTATAATTCTTTATGATGATCAAGCATATGGTGCAATTACAACATTTCAGGACGCACCAGTGTTCACGAGGATGATCTAATAAACAATAGCCAAAAAAGATTTCATGTAGCACTTGGCTCGCATTGCTAATTATTTTTGCTTTGGCCGTGCATGGTTCCAAGATATCGTATACGGTTCGGAAAAGACAGATTTAACCAAAGACAATTATTTTTGCTTTGATGCAGGTTTTGTTTTCTTTAGATTTTGTTTCTTTAGCTTTCACAGTAATTATCTAGAGATTCAATAGTAACCTAACTCAATCCCAGTAACCCCAAAGCATCACAAGTTTCCCTATCAAAGATGAAGGATTGTGACTTGACAACAAATCCTTATCGACTGTCTAAGCTCGCAGTCTCCACCAAAGCTGCGTCCCACCAAATATATCACCATCTTCTTCCAAAGAAAAAGGACTATATCTCTTTCTTCCATCGCTATTGATCCTTTTTCAGGCAGGCAAGTCCACATGAACATGGAAATGAATAGTAGTATAATGTGGGCTTGGACTATCCTTAGAATCTACACAAAAGTCTTTTCATTTGCAATGCAATAATTACAAAACTCCAATACTACGTTCTGAAACAATTGAATGGTAAGCACCAACCAACCACTTTGGTTGTGCTAACTTTTGTAAAGCAGCACATTACACTTCTCATCAATTTGCTAGATACAATGAGAACCTCTATAGAAAGTAGTGACTATTTTAATCATAACTTAGATCCTAGATTAACTGTGCTATCCTATAAGTAAAACACTACTAACCATCTTGTATCTTTCAACTATAATTATCAGAGACATCATCCTATATTTTGAAAAAACATTCTAGGAGACCAACCACACTAGCTGAAAGGTTAAAGAACTGTGGTCTCAGATAAAAATCAGAAATTTTTGTCTTTGTTGTCATTCTTTTTGCTTTTTCCGGCTCCCATGAATGCCTAGGAAGCACAGGCATGCGGCAATTCAGAACATCACTCACTCCACAAATCAATTCAAAAAATTCGGTTTAAGAAACAGTAAATTAGCTATCAATTCCTTTATTGATAACCATAAACAGTTACACTACCACATCATATGTATATGTTTTCAACAAGGCATCTGGGTCGGCTTCGTCTCCCCAGACTTTTGAAAGTAAGATCATCAGTAACTTATGTATATTTCTCTAATTCTTTTCCTATTTTTTCCTCTTGATTTATATTTTTTTTCCTAATTTTTTCCACAAATAACTAAGATATGGATTAGCACACATCATAATCTCCAATTCAGGCGGACCTCACCGGTACCCAGTATGTGCTGACTTGGTTTCCGAAACGATACGATGTGGCTGCTCACCATGAAGGCAGTCACACGCTCCGAAACCCTAATATCCTCCAACTTCAATTCTTGTAGTCGCCGGACATATTCCGGCACATGTAGGAGATCCCACACAACCCCGACACCACCAGGCTTCAAAACCCTGACCATCTCACCCAACACCCTCATTCTTTCTGCTGCAGCCTCCACTGTCCGATGGCCATACTCTTTTCCAACTGTGTGTACAAAAGTAGCGGATACCACCACATCAAAGTAGTTGTCACCAAATGGTAGACTCCTCACATCACCCTCTCTGCAAGTCACATACTCTCCCACACCTGTTCGTGCAAATCATAACAAATCCATCATCCATAAGCGAAAATAATTAATCAATTAATGACATGCGCAAGTAGAAGATAGTCTGTAAGTTAATTTGATAACCAGAAATAAAGTTTGAATTTTCTCAAAGCGAAAATGTCACAATTTGTTACTCAAATTGACAAAATTTGCACCAAAACCAAAATATGATATCAATTAGTACATATATTGTTTTAAATTTAAGCTGTTTTAGGATAAGAAAGAAATTTTGTTCCATATAATCTATGATTTGCAATTTAAGATACCCTTTAAAAAACATTAGTAGTTTAAGATTAAAATAATTAGAAAAAAGAAACTGCAAAAATCTCTATAGCCAGCAAACTTCACTGATGTTGAACCAAATCTCCATAAATCATAATAAATAAATAAAACAAAAGCAACCATCACCAATTAACCAAAACTGAACCGAACCACCAATTACCCAAAAACCAAAATTCAAATAGATCACAGCAGCCAACGATTTAAAAACACAAAAGCAAAAATTTAGAACATATTAACTACTTATCATAGCCACTAATTTTTTATTAAAAAAAAAAGGAAAAAAAATCCCACAATTACCATGAAAAACTACAATCAAACGCAAAAATAAATAAATAAAATTAGTAAAAGGGTCAGTATCTCAAGCAATTATCAAAAGATGCTTTACTTAATCCAACACCACCAAAACTCACCTTCCATGTTGGCGGTTCGAAGCGTAGACAAAGTAGTTCGTTTAGATCGGTCCAGCCCGACAACCCGACCGGAACTCCCTGTCTTCTTCAGCTGAGTAGCCACCGTATTCAACAAAATCCCACGGCCGCACCCAATATCAAGAGCAACCTTAACATTAGACCAATCATTCACACAGCTCACAATCCTTTGCGCCATTTCATAGCGCAACCCAACCGCGCTATAGAAAAAGTTCCCCGCCGCGAAAAACAAACAAACAGCAGACAGTGCTGTCACACAGCCGGTGAACCCAGCAGCAAAACGTGCTGCACTGCCACCACCGGTGGAGTTGGTTTCGGTGAAGAGGAAGAAAGTGTCTAAAAACTGGCAGATTGGTTGGAAGTAAAGGAGAAAAAGGATTGACCAAATGGAGAAGAGAATAGCTTGAAATATGAGAAAGAGCAGGGTATGCCATTGTTCCATGCCATAAATTGAGTAGATCTGTGTCCAGTCTCTGCTGTTTGTTGATGTGGGTTTGTGCATTCTGTGATTGTGATAATGGAGATGAGGTTTGATTGTCAGTGACATTGCTAGATTGAATCCTGCAGCAGTACACAAGTGGATCATTAGATATTAGAGAGAAGAATATTACTTGGTCAAAAAGATTAAAACAGAGCAAATTAAGTAAGAAAGTGATTTTGAACATTCTTTAATGAGTAATAAAGCTAAAATGGAAGGATTTGAAATGAATTAGTTCTCTTACTTTACTGGGAATTAGGATTTTTATGAAGTGGGGAATCTTGTTCAAGGAGTAGTTATAGAGTGATTAAGGAAAATATTTGAAGAAACGAAACACAAGAAGAACAATAAATTTGTGTTTAGTAATGTAGAAAAAAGTATAATTATTTAAATTAAGTGGGCATTTCACATACCCAAACTAGAAAATAGAGAAGATGGAGGGGTATCTTGCTTTTTCCAAAAGAACTGCAAAAGCTGAGTACTTGAAAACTTCTTTTCCTTTTTAGCTTTCTTTTCCCCTTCTCTCTTTTTTCTGGGTAGCAAAAGAAAATCCTAAAAATGCAATCTTTTTTTTTTTTTTCACATACAATCTCAAGAACCCAACTTCATCAGCACCTGATCAAAACACCATCAGCATCAGATCCACTGCCTATTGCCAAGGGAATTTCACTCTTTCTCCCTGTCTTTGCCTGCCCCAAAAACAGCCAAGGTTGCAAGTGCCCTGAAACCAAAGATGCTTAATAGCTGTGTGCTCTTTTCAAATCAAATCAAATCGAAAGTGACAAATAAGATAGAAAGAGATAGACAATCGGTGTAATAAATCTGCAAATGTCAGGTTTGTTACTAGGGATAACATTGAAATCATCAACTCAAAGTGTTTGCGACTACTAGCAGTAGTAACATTTCACGCGGTTTTTGAGGTTGTCTTTTTGTGTTTGTTTTGAATTTTAAGTGACAAAGTGATAGTGGGCTGGCTTCAAATATTTGTGCAATTCTTTTTCTTACAACGAGAGAGAGAGAGAGAGAGAGACTGATTGGTGTGTTTCAAATCATGGCATGTATGGTTTGTACTTTGAAGGGGCAAAGGGGAAATAAAATTGTGGTTGTGATTTTGTACCGACTACCGGGTCCATTGACATGTCTTTAACGTTGAAAAGTCAGAGTTATAAAGTCCATCCCTAAGCCATGTAGATCTTGAAATAGGAAGACCTCAAATACTTCCTCCCGAACTTTTTTTTTCTCGGTTAGATTCTCAATGTATGAGTAGAATTTCAATCACATCATTCTGTTAGTTTCAATTAATTAAATGTTAAACGATTATGTGAAATTCATTTAATTTTTTTTCTCATTATAAACTTATGAATTTATCAAAATCCCCCCATCATGTATATAAGAGAACTTAAGCTCTTTAATTCATTGAATTTCATAGTGTAGTCTATTTTGTGATTCAAAGCGGAACCTAGGAGAAATTTAATGGTCATCAGTTTGAATTAATTGAAAGTTCATTGAAATTTTGAGGAATTGTTGAGATAGAAAATAGATTGGTAACTTAATTGATATTGTCCGTAAAAGTTGGGGACTTTTAAGAGATTTTCCCTTTTGAAATCTACTGGTGGTTGCAAATTTGAAGCACTTGCATTTTGCAGCTTTTGTAGAAGATGGAGTAATATTGAAGTCTTCCTTTTCCATCATGAGCATCACACACTCTTCCCATATTATAACATGGAGTTTACACTTGGCCATGTTTCATGAAATTTTGGACAAGAACGCTAACAAATTTTTATCTATTATTTAATGATTCTACTAATTTACTGAGTTGTATTAAAATCTTTTTTTGTTGGAATTTAAGAAGTAAATAAATTCTAACTCTTTTAATTTCTAACACAGAAAATAATGTACTTCAAAAGATTCATATTTTGTAAAATATAATGTTGGTGTAATCATTTTGAATGACTTATTTTATTTTTAACTCACATGTTAAGATTTTAATTGTAATTTTTTATATAAGCTCCTGGATGCTTTTCTCTTCTCTTTCCACCGCCTCATCAAGATCAAGTCACTGACTGGATTTTGGATCCAACATTTTGTCCGCAATATTTTAACCAAGTAGACCCACCAAGTTATTATTTCAGATAGTTGATTTTATTTTTTAAAATGGTCTCACACTATCCAATCAACTTAGTATTCTCTTTCTTTGATTTGCATTTCCCATCACATTTTCAAAATGCCATCCCCATCGATTTGATTTCAAAAAACACAAAAATATAATACAATTATTAACTGCCTGATGTATTTATAATTTATGGATAGTCTTGCAAAGCAGACACAGAAGGACCGAGTTTGAAATTTTTCTTTGAAATCTATTATTTATCTGAGAAAACAACATATTTACTAAGCCCCCTTCTTCTTCTTCTTCTTCTTCTCTAGAGAGCCTCAGCCTCAAATTGTCTTTATATTTTACTTTCTTGAAAAAAAAAAAAATTAAAGAAGGGATATATATATTTTTGTAATTGAGTGGAAGAATTTAGCATCATAAGGGACAAAAATCAGGGTGATAACGTGAATTTGAAAACAAAAAGCATGTGAAATTTCATTTTCGGCAATAAAAGTGTTGGGTAAGCAAGAGCAATTAGTGCCCGCAAATCATGGAAACGGAAAAATGAATCAAGACCGTACAGGTAGACTTATTGAGATTGACGAAATTGTAGAAGACAGGAATCATCAGATTTTTGACCAACACACTCTATTTTCTCGGTCGATACTGCCCTTTCTTGTTCCCTTGATTTGAACCCTCATTAAAGTTTACCAGATTCTTTTCCCCTTTCTTTCTCTAGTATCTTCGTCGTTCGTTTGCAGAGACCTTACCATCCATTGTTTTTATGAGATAAATAAACAGACTTTTTTTTATCAATTAAATTGATGTACACAGATTTACGAACCTGCCTTCTCATCAAAAAAGCCATTGCGCGGTTCACATCGACACATGATTACGCGAGTAGAGTTAAATTTAACATAAATATATGATCTTCTCGAAATTAGTAGGGGAATTCGAATGCTCAAAACACAAGTAATAAGCAAAATTAACTGCCCATTAGATGCTTACATGCTCACTTTCGTCAGCAATGCTTTTATTCCAGAAACGAATAACACTTTACCCTCTCTCCGTTTTGGATTTTGCATTTTTAGGAGTGTTTTTTTTTTTTTTTTTTTGTGGCAAAAATTATTTATTTCATATTATAAAATTTGTTTCGAAGTAAAGTTGGAGCGGAAAAAAAGTTGAAAACGCAAACGCTAAGCATTCATTTATTGTGGTAGTTCGCTGGTGGCCTGCCAATCCCATCGCTACACACAAATCTGGGATTACTGACCACACAGCAACGCCTATTACTGAAAATGTTTTGTAGTCATATCAAAGGGTTCTATGGTCATTTCCTACAAGGACAATATTGTCCATGGAAATCAACTAACAAATTTCTCCGCTGAGAGATTGGAATTGGATGAGATACAAATATCTCGGTGCTGGAAGTAAATTTTACTTCATTTCTTAACAAATAATTATTAAATTTTTTTATTAAATTATTTAGAAAAAAATTAATATACAACCTCTTTTAAAAATACCTTGAACTTTCAATATATATATATATGTATCCTAGTATTGGCAAAAATTAAATGAAGGTGGATCCTTGCCAAAAAGGCCAAAGTAAAAGTGGGGCCCAAATAAGGAAAACGCGGGAATGACAGAAAGCAAAGAAAACGGGTTTGGACTCAGATTTAACAGGGGAAGTGAGGAAGGCACGAAGTGAATTTCTAATTGCCATATATTAGCCTTTTGCCTGCTTTATATTTTTTTTAATTTTGCTTTCTTTCGAAGACAATTTATGCACTAAGTCAGATATGACCGACTCCAAAAAAGCCATTTCAAAACAATCTAAAAGAAGAGTATAAGATGACGTAGCATTTAGAATTTGAATGAATACTTCTATTGATGTAAGATAAGATGGGTCTCCATTTGAATTCAGTACACATTCAACTTTTGAAAATTATTTATTTATTGTAATTTTGTACTTTATAATTTCAAAAGTAAGTAAGTTGGGTTTAAGTCAAACGTACATTCTAGTTTATGTACGGAAATTTTGTGTCTTTTTATTTTAAATTAATAGTTTTACTCTATTATCTCACAAAAACATGTGATTTATCATGAAAACAATTTATGGATTGCTGGCAAGAAAATAGAATAATATTAGATGTACTGAATATTTTTTATAATGAAAAAAATTTACATATGTCAAGAGTCGTACTCTACTGTCATATAAAAATATAAACATACAATATATCGTCAACTATTTTTATAATAAATCTGATATTTTTGTGAAATGATAAAACACAATAGCCATTTACTGAATAATTCATCTTTTGTAATAGTAAATGTGTTGTATAATATTTGGATGGAATCAATGAATCATCTTTGAACGGTTCCAAATTCTTGTATAAGACTAATTTTTTTCTCCTAAAATAAAAATAATAATTTTATGCCATACATGAATGTTAAATGCATTCAAAAACACTTGAACCACTTGAACCGCAGATTCTATATTGAATATTTGATATATTTGTTTTAATTACTTATCTTTGACTATGTTATTGTAAGGAAACGAATCATTAAAAAAAAAGAGTAGAAATATAATAATTATCACACAATGCAAAGATTTATGTGATTCAACAATTGTACTTACTCTATGATTATATTAAAAAATTTTATTAGATTTTTATCAAGTGGTAGCTTGCTAATACAAAATATTTTATCTCTATTTATAGTACAAATGATTAGGATTATAAGGGAAAAAAAATATAACAGATCTATATAATTGGTCTAATATTATATAGAACTTTCGTATGTATATTGTCCTAAATTACAAATTGCATTTATATATGTCTCTATAAATTAACATTTTTTGCCCTTACCCTAGTTATGATTCAAGTATTTGAACCGAATATTTCTCATATTTGGTTTAGTATTGATCGGTGTAAAATGCACTGAAGACATAGATATATACTAGGATAATAGAAATTTCATAAGCACGGGTCATGCATAATTAATCAAAATTGGATAGTCCCTTCAATTCATAGCGTTTAATTTAGAAAATCACCTTATCAAGTAAGAATCTCATTTCTTCTATAACAAATACTTGGTAGTTAACGAACAGATTATGCTATTGTATTTTTTTTATTATGGAATAATGATGAAAAAGTCTAGGAAGAAATTCAGGTCGCACTTGGACATGATGAATTGGTCTCGAGTCGCACCTTGAAAGTTCATTTGTGGTCGAGTTTCGTACGGGCCCAAAAAACACGATCCCCACCCCTGGTTTCTTGTTTCTGTTTAATGATTAGTCATGCATGCCTTGTATAATTAATTGTGCCATACCGACGGCCACACGTCCAAAGAGAGAAAATAAAAATATGTCTTGATTAATTTTTTGTTAGTCAGGAAAGTGTACTGGGGAGCTCCATCCTTCTCTTATGGCCATAGATAAAAACAAGAAAATTTGAGATAATTAGTAATTAGCCACACAATCTGTTGAGTACCAAACTGAAAATGGCATCACATCAATTTTACCAAATTGAAGATTTCTTAACAATTGCAGATTTTTCTAAATTAGGATATCATAAATGTAGGGCGGAAATGTTACGCAATTGATCCATATTAGTGTTTGAAATCTTGTCCAAGACAAAACCAAAAGAAGGGGCAACCCTATCGCCGTCCCTAGGCAACACTGGAACTGGACAAATCTCTTGAACGACAAAAGAAAAGCAATATTAAAGCAAACATCTACGTAGCAATAATTTTGCTCCTAGATGGGTATGTAGCATGTAGCAGTTGCTTATTGCTACAATAATGCTTCCCTAGACAGGGCATGTTGCAGTAATGTGCATGGGACCGATAACTTCAAGTAATTTGGAAAGCACTAATAAGTTTTTTTTAGTTTTAGTTGTGAATTGAATTAAATATATTTATTTTAATTTAATTATATATAATATATTATCAATTAATTTAAATATATTAAATTAAAAATAAAAGATAAAATTTTATATAATATTATAGTTTTAAATCAAAATTATGTTTTATTTTGTTCATGTTTTTAATAAATTTTATAATAAAAAAATGACATATTCTTTCTTAAATAACAACCCATAATAATCTAAATATAAATTTTTTTTAAAAAAAACATCTTAATAATTTTTATATTATTGCATTGAATAAATAAAATAACAATTAATATAAAAACTAAAAAAAGAATCTTTTTTTATTCTTGTTTAACACCGATGAGAAAATTATACATATATATTGAAAAATAATGAATAATATTAGTTGAATTATTAGGTGGTTCTTCAAAAATATTATGTGAGACTTATTATTTTAAAATATTAAAAAAATAACAAATGGGGTTTGTGTGTGTGTATGTGTGTATTTATTTCAATAAAAAAATCAATGAATTTAAAATTTATTTGATTAGAATTTTTATAATAAATAATAAATTAAAAAATCAATTTTAAACAACAAGAATATATGATTCAAGATATGTATGGTCATTCTAAAATTTAAAAATATATCGTATGTGTTTTATAATCGCTAGTGTGAGTGAAAAAAACTAACAATTAGTTTTTCATAATTTTCGTACTTATTTCAATAATAATAAAAAAAATTGAACATAAATTGGTGGATAAAAACAAAAAAAAAAATACAAAGAAAAAAAGAAGTAGGCTTGTGTGCCAGTAGACCCGATGCAAGCTGCTCTCCTGTTCGTACAGAAGTAGCCAAGGGACCAATTGTTTTAAAATCAAATATGAGGGACAAAAACAAAATGTAATGGAAAATTTACAACTTAATGTCCAAAAACAAAAAAAAAATTTACATGAATGTCATTTCCATCCACAGTAATATATGAAAAAATGAACAATGAAAATCCATATTCATTCATTTTCCTCACTTCTTTTAGTTTTTCTTTAAATTATTCAAGAAGACCACTAAGGGAAACTTCTAGTTCGATAATATATATAAGGGTGAAATATAGAGATTTCGGGTTCTATTTTTGTTTATGATAACCATATTGGTTCTTCTTCTTCTCATTTTCTCGTTATTTAGACAAATTTATTAAAAATATTTAGCCTATATAACAAAATAAACGCATTATTATTAGTTTGCTTTATTTAAAATCCGATTGGAAAGACTTTCCATAAGTGATGGATAGACAATCTTATAATAGTTCTATTAATTATTACTTAAATTCAAAATAGAATGAATTTAATATTAAGTACTCATTGTTGGAAATCTTGCTTTTCATAGATGATAAATTAAGTATGGCGAAGAGAGTTTACAAGTATGAATGATCAAATTTTTGGCAAAATGGTTGCATAATCCATGTCTTTCATCCGACATCGTCGTATTACATCTCAAGTTCAAGGTATCAATTTGGGTAGAATGATTACACGACTCGTGTTACATCTCAAACATAAGGTGTCAATTTGGATAGAATGGTTACATTGTCCGTATTTGTCATCCGACACGATTGTGTTACATCTCGAGCCCAATGTATCAATGTAGGCGAGAATGATTGCACGACCCATGTCTATCATAACAAACGACTATGTTACTATTCATAATTATATTAATTAATTATTTTATCTTTGACAATCAATTTCAAGTTTTTCAAACAAATATGATTGTTGGATTATGACTTTAGAATCGACGAGTTGGTTATTTAATTAAATTAGTTTTTGAAAAGTCACATTTGTTATAAAAGAGTTTCAATAAATTATATATAGAGGAATACCGCATAGAGTTAAAGATATTATGTTTGCCTCCGCAATCTTTCTCAAAAAACCCTTATCTCTTTAAAACTTTACAACTTCAAGAGAAATTCTCTACAATGAATGTTAGAAGTGTTGTCCGTAATACTTTGGGTGTAAAACTTAAATTCAAGAGCTGAATTGTCAAAATCTCTACAACATTATAATGGAGAAAACAATCACCTTAAGGACAATGTGAGAAGATTTCTACATGTAATTAAGCACTAGGATCTCTTGCCTTCTTCTTCTTCAATTATAAAATTATTATCATATTTCGTTATTCAACACTTATGATCTTACACGAAAAAAAATCTCAAGTTCATGTAACGAATTGATGTTTTCATGCATTGGAAAAAGGCGAATGTAGATCTTAGACTTATCAAAATGCATGCATGCAAAAATTAGGGGCAAAGATTAAAGAGGTTGTATAGTTTTTAATGAAACAATCATTCAAGCAGACTTTTTCGCACCTGGATGGACATCGGCATGAATGGCACTCTTTTTCATAATACCAAAGGGTTACTAGAAAATAGGATCAAGAAACGAAGTCATTTCCTAGTATTAATTGTCATTAGAAAACTTTTGACTAGTCTACTTAGGTTTGTAATATAAAGTGTTTGTTATATGTAGGGAAGACCCAAGTCACCTTACTTCGTTCGCTTAAGGTAAGCTACATTGCATGTATACCTAAATCTAATTTTTGCTTTCTAATTCAATGACCACCTATGCCTATTAATGTGCTTGCTATTTGGTCGGTCATTAATTATTTAAGTGATTCGGGATTAGGTTGATTGGAAGTCTTACCCTCACTTTAGGAAAACTCGAAGATTCAACTTTGGAATAACTACTCAAACATTAGAGACTCATAGAAAATTGGGATTTTGATATGCATGTGAGCTCAAAAGTTGTGTTTTCCTAAAAGCACTTGAGAAGGAAAATAATTTTAGATATTATTGACTTTGGAATATCCGGGTTTTCAATATACATGAACTTGGATTAGTCATGATGACTTAGGAAAAATCAAGGAAAAACAGTTTTAAAAACTAACACGAGTTTTAGAAAAATCAAGAATTCAAAATGTGTGCTTAAGTCATGGGCTTTAAAAAGATTCAAAATCAAGTTTCCAAGAGACTCGAAAAACTAAATTTTTTTAATGTCTACAATTTCATGTCACAAGTTTCGAGGGTTTCAAATGAGGGTTTTTAAGACTCGACATAAACTCGAGAAATCAAGTTTTCAAATAAAAATTTTTAAGACCGAGTATAGACTTGAGAAATTAAGTTTTAAAATATGCATGATTTCATATTGCAATATTCAAGAGAAGAATCGAGACATCAATTTTTAGGACCATCATGAACCTAAGAAATCAAGTTTTAAAATATGCGCAATTTCATATTGTAATTTTCAAGGAAAGACTCGAGACAATGATTCTTAGGACTATTATAGACTCAAAAAATCAAGTTTTAAAATGTATTCAATTTTAGATCTCAATTTTCATAGAAAAACTCAAGATAACGATTTTTGAGATCGTCAAAAACTTAGAAAATCAAGTTTTAAAATGTATAAGATTTTAGATTACGATTTTCAAGGAACGATTCAAGATAATGAATTTTAAGGTTGTCGCAAACTCAAAAAAATTAAGTTTTAAAATTTGCACAATTTTAAGTCGCAACTTTCAAGGAAAATTCATGACAATAATTTTCGAGATTGTCCCAAACTTAGAAAATCAAGTTTTAAAATGTGCACCATTTTAGATCTTGATTTTCAAGGAAAGACTCAAGACAAAGGCTTTTCTGACCAACATAGACTTAAGAAATCAAGTTTTAAAATATGTGTAATTCATATTACGAATTTTAAGGAAAAACTCAAGACAATAGCTTTCAAGGTCAATGCAAACTTAGAAAATAAAGTTTTAAAATATGCATGATTTTAAGTTGCAAGTTTCAAAGAAAATTCAAGATAATAGTTTTTAGGCTCGTCGAAAACTCAAGAAATCAAGTTATAAAATATGCATGACTTCAAGTTGTAGTTTTCAAAGAAAGACTCGAGAAATGGTTTTAAAAAACAATCGCAAACTCAAAAAAATCAAGTTTTTAAATGTATGCAAAAAAAATTCATGACTTTCAAGAAAAAATCAAGATACTAGTTTCGATACCGTCATTAACTTATAAATCATGGTTTAAAAAAAAATTAAGAAAATTCAAACGTAAATAATTTAAAATGGAACATGTGTGTTAAAGCTAAAAAAAATCCAAAGAATGAAGCAACAAAGGCACAAGGGCAAAAGGAAGTGACACGGGATGAAGTGCAAATTCCACATGGGCGAAGTCAAGGACACGAGATAAAGCAACGGGAGACATGAGATAGAGTGCAAGTGTTACACGATCATGTGCCTCTATCCAACAAGCCGTGCAACACCAACTCTCTAAGCTCCAAACCAAGTGAGATAAAGCAACAATTTGTGTGCCTTTATCAAACAATTCATGTGGCCATGTGAGACTAACATGTGTATGTGTTGTAACCCTATTTTTAGCAATACATATTGAGGCTAGGGTTTTATTTAAAAACTATCTTATTAACGACCACCCTTAGATAGAAAATTCTCTTATAATTAGCCATAAGTCACTAAATATCTATCTTGGTTGAAGAAAAGTTAAAGCTTTTAGTAAAATCGTTATGAGATCTTAATGGATTCTAATTCTAAACTTACTCTTTTAAGTATTTTTTTGGGTTATTTAGTTATGATTATGTGATTAATTGATTAGAAAGTACGCTAGTTACTTGATCATCATAATTTATTGCTAGGTAAGTATTCAAGTCCGTGTAATTGCTTGTCTAAATTTACATATGGTAGTTACTAGAGCTAAATGATTATAATGCATTTTTGTTTAATCCTTTGAAAAACTTAGAACTATATTAAATCTTTCTAGCATCTAGAAGGGTTGTTTAACTTCACTTGTCTTTCTTTAATTTAATAATGTTATTGGATCAAATCTAGTTAGGGTCTACTAGGTTATTCAATACTTAGGGATTAATCAAATAACATTTATTTGGTTAATAAATCGAGTGAGGAAATATTGGGGCAACATATATATTGTTGTCCTATGGTGAATATTTATGTAAAAAATAAGTTAATGTTTGAATCAATAATCGGCGATTAAACCAAAAGTAGATACCACATTTCAACCAAGACTTTCCTTATTATTTTTATTTCTATTTGCTTTTAATTGCTTTATAAATATCCACAAACATAAACTTGTTAGTATAGGTGCCTAAGATCTAACCATGTTTGGATAAGTTTGAGCTATTGTATCATTACAATATTTATTTTATTAATAATAAAAGAAGTCTTTCTATTAATTCTTATTTGTTTATATTTATTTATTGAATAAAATTATATATAAGTCCATATGATATGCGTTTACATTAGTATTGTAAAAGAATACTAATGTAAATATATCTCAAAAAGTATTGTAAAAGACCAAAATACCATGAGTCATAAGACATGTCAATAACAATAATATCATTTTTACATAAATTAATTATCGATCAAGCAAGAAATCAAATGACAATAGCCTCAAATCATTTCATACAATCATCAATTTAAAACTTAATTAATCACACACACACACACACAAAATTTAAATTATTTCAACTCGATCATTCAATGATGTGTGTCGAATACACCAAATTTAAATTATTTACTAAGCTTGCCAACTTTTTTTTGTTATAACAAAGACAAGTCCGAGATCGAATCCTAAAGACTCGGTAGATCATTTCAATTAGTTTAAATTCAAAAGGGAGTTTTGTTTGTTTGGCTGAATTATAAATTAGCAAGAATCAAATAGAAAATGTTCAATTTTATAGAAATGTCAATTCAAGGAGAAATTCAAATATTCAATTTGCGGATTGATTATGAACACCTAAATTACTATCCTCTCATTTAATACTTAACGTCAATTTATCTAAATGTTAGAATAAACCTGAATCTTTCTTATATTCATTAACTTAAATCTCAAAACCTAAATTAAAATTTTATTATCAATTAATTTTGCTATTAAGTAATTCTAATCAAATCAATAATAGCATTATGAATTAAGAAGATAGCTAAGAGTGAACAATAATTTTAAAATACCTAAACTATTTAATTCATCTTTTTATTTCTCTTAGGTGGTCAAGAAAACTAGGATCATAATCATGAAAACTTAAATTGCTACTTGTATTAACTTTTCATAATAATTACGAATTAAACATTTTAGTTAGCTATCAATCACAATAGACAATCACCTAATTGGCCACTTAGACAATTACCTATGTAATCATAATTAATGTAATTCAAAAATCAAATAATTAAGCTTAGAGAAATAAAAGATACTCAAATCATCAAGAATATTTTAAAGATTAAACCCGTGTCTCACAAGCTTTTGCAAATTGAAGTTGAAATCCCTTGAACTAAATTGATGAAATTAGCTAGACATTGTTTAAAATATAAAATCCCGAATTATGTAAAAGAAGGCTAACTCTAATATGCAACATTAAAGACTATTTATACATATAAAGATATAAAATATGACAGACCTAATAAGTCAT